CGATTATTCTTCTTAATGTTCTTCGGTCAGCATTTGTGATATTACTTTTTTCACATATCGAGGCATAATATTAACTGAACCAGTTACGTTATATCTTCTAACAATATTTCTCACACTGTACCGCGATAAGTCTAACAAAGTTGCAATTTCTGAGTTTGATTTCCCAGAATTAAAAAATTTAATTATCAGTAACCGCATTTTCTCACTAATATCCTTTCCTCTGAAATGAAAATAGGTTGATATGCTGTAATTGCAACATGTGTTATTTTTATGCTGCAAATTTGATTAGGGAGTGATAAAGTTGGTGTTTTCTACTATATATTATCAAAATATTCATTGTTAATATTGTAAACCTATAACACCCTGCTAAATTCTTATCATTTGTGTTTGATAAGAAAAAAAATAAGATTTCAATACTTGGGCCAACTGAAGTGGAAAGGGGCTCGTATTATGTACGCCTTAAACGGTATATTGAGCACCGATCAACATGAAAAATTAAAGCTACATCATTCACTAAACGACCTTCTGCCAACAATCTCATACAATTCTCTCGTTCTTTTTGAAAAAGATGAGGGAAGTTAAAAATTCGATAAAATGACTTACAACCAACTTGGGCCAAATTTGAGGAATTACCTGTTTTAGGATAGCCTAAGGATCAAAAAGATGCATAGAAAAATTTCCAAGATCAAAAATTGAGAATCTGACAGCCCCAAACTTCGCTAAAAAACATGACTTCCTTTGCTGCAGAAATGGATAAATAAAAGAAATATACTAGTACGCGAGTACTACGAGATTTGAATTTGGGTAACATTTTCCATGTTGCAAAGCCCCTGTCCGCCAACTTATCAAAGAACTGAAAAAGGACGAAAACGAGGAGAAAATGTGAGACGATAAAATTTTACTGGCGAGTGTGTTTTTTCGATGGATTGTCCAGTATATATTTGAAGATCAAACCCTGAAGTATGTATGAAATTGCTTGTTTGAAAGGGCTTGTCGAAATTTGTAATAAAATATAGGGCTTTCCATTTAAAGAAATGTATGTTCAGGTCACCGCGTATATATGAGTCACTCTGTAGAGATAAAAATATATATTTCAAATTAGCACCATAATGTTAGCTACAATTTCTGTATACTGAAGAAGTAGCGTATGCAGAAACCTAAATACGTGGGCACCGCGACTGCTATAAGCAAGGCGAAGAAACTTATTTAACGTCACTGTGTTTTTATGTATATGTAGGTAAACCATTTGTTTTAACCGTTCTAGGTCAAAGAAGCAGAAACTGCATTCCAAAATTAATTTAACTTGTGATAGTGGAAGGGTGAAATTAGGTTCCGCTCCAATTCCATCGCAGCATGCTTTGATAGAAGCGATAGAATCAGTGTTCACGGTGTAGCGCAGTGGTCTAGAGACTGAAAAGCTCGCAAAAAATACAGTTTTCTCTGAAATTAGTTTGTCTCTATGAAATAATTTGGTCAGTTCGAGGTCATATCAAGAATATTTAAAAAAAATAATAGTTTAAGGGTGGATTTCACCAAGGTTGTCAAATTAACAGACCGTTATTCTCCACCTATAGGGTAACAGTCCGTCAAATACAGCGAATGAGCTTGAACATACAATCAACAAATTTCAGCAACCAATACCTATGTTGAAAACAAAATATTGTCAAAGTATGAGACGACGCCAGCTGAAACATCACCAGCTTATTGAATATTAAGAAATTACATATAATTCAGTCAAAATGTTTGATTTTCGAATAAAATTCATGTTTTAATTACTATTGTTGATTTTTTATATTATTTTCTTCAATTGATGTGCGATTTTACTGATTTAACATCACCTCCCCTACTTGATGATAGAAAATTTCAAAGATATTGCTCGTTTCCAAACATTCATTCATTTACTTGCCGTTCATCAGAACCATTATGGCACCTTAGATTGATATTCCTACAAAACCATTCAGACTTTTTGATATCCATACATTCATAAAGTTGAATATTTTTCGTTGTCCAGGAACTGAACAAACATCCACACTATATTTACAGCGATTAAGAAATACCCAAATATATGTCGTAAAGCTACCGGCAAACCTAAAACCTGCAAAAAAACTAGAGATTTGCAATATTTTTCTTTTTTCACGAGTACACATTCTAGGTTATACAGGGTTATCCAAATTAAGTGTCCACCATTAGTAACTGTGTTATTAGTGAAAATACAAAGTTGTTTGAATCAGCAAACTAGTAGCATTTTTAACGCTGGTAAAAATGAGAAATAAAAAAAAACAATTGAGAGTCGTTATTTTGATTTTTTTCAGTAAAATAACATTTTTTTAAATGGAAACCCCTGTATATTATATTTTTTTCTGTTAAAGCATCAAATTTTAAACAAAAAAGCTTACAATAACTTTTCTCCTAGGTTACAAATTGTTGAAGTTATGGCCTCCAATCTGAAACAATTAAATTGTATCGACAAACTTTATTTTCAACATCAACTTATAATCTTACAAAATACAATAACAATTTTTTTTAAAGAAGATGCTCGAAAACACCACCTTGTTCTTCAATACATTTTTGGGCACGTTTTTCAACTGCTCGAACTGTCTTAAGTATGGTCCTACCATCTATCTGGGTTATCTTTTCCCTAACTGCAGTCTTTAACGCGTCAAGGTTATCGTACCTTCGCTTGTAAATTTGGTTCTTTAAGTAACCCCACAAGAAGTAATCAAGTGGGTTTAGATCTGGTGATCTGGGAGGCCACTGTATTGGGCCATTTGTTCCTATCCACTGATCATTAAAAGTAGTACTTAGAAAATGATAAGTACCTCTGGAGTTGTGGGCAGGTGCGCCATCTTGCTGAAAATGCAGATGATGTCTACTTATAAGATCCAATTCGTCTAAGAAATTAGTCAGAATTTCTGACATAAATTCCACATATCTTTCTTTTCTGCACACTAAATAGCATTCTAACATATCACACTTTTCTTCATGGGAGAACATTTTTTCTTTAAATTAATGACACAATAAAGCTTATAAACAAGTATTTACACTAATGTTTGACATTATTTGATTTTATCATTGTTTTCCAAAGCCTTCTAGTTGCGAGTATGTCCAGTTGAACAATTTGTCGCTTATCTTAATGCTGTCAAATCGCGAACGCCATGTTGTTTTCATAGCCGTCTTAATATTATAATACTGCAAATAATTAAAAATATTTATCGTTATTTTGACTTTATTTTTGACTTTAGCGAAAAAGTCATTATGAACTTTTTTGTTTAAAATTTAATGCTTTAACAGAAAAAAATATAATATACAGGGGTTTCTATTTAAAAAAATGTTATTTTACTGAAAAAAATCAAAATAACGACTCTCAATTGTTTTTTTTTATTTCTCATTTTTACCAGCGTTAAAAATGCTACTAGTTTGCTAATTCAAACAACTTTGTATTTTCACTAATAACAAAGTTACTAATGGTGGACACTTAATTTGGATAACCCTGTATAATTAGACATTATTTAAATAACCGCTGATTACTACATTTCAAAAATCTCCAACGAGTGACACATGTGTGGGATCCGTCAAACCTTGGTTCCCGTCACAAAACATATACACTGAAGAAGGTTTAATTCCATGCTATTCAATGACAATGACTTGTGTGGTTGTCAGCGGCCATTTCTTGCGGGTGCGGCATGGTTGCCAAGTTGAGCATTAATTTCCCGTTTCACCTCCCTGGTCTTAGTCGAGTACGCTCCGCCAACTGTTGAAATATACTCTACTATGCTTTATAAGACTATTCGTGGAATTTTTCCCAAAATAGTTGCACAACACTTGAAAGAATGCAAATGAAAATTTAAATTTATTTCCATGACGCCCCAAAATAGCTGCTTCGGTACCTCGGGTGATACATCTTGACAGTTCGTTACGATCCTATATTTAGAAGTATCGATACCTTTGCTTCCCATACATTTGGATCGATATTTTTATATACGACACTTGGGTGTATCGATACTTTTCACGAGTATCGTCAGCTTTCGATCCGGACTGTGTCAAACTTCAGATTACTTTTCCTCTCTGTTTCCTTCCGCTGGATATCGATAATTTTATTCCAATATTTTAGAGTATCGATACTTCCTAAAACGATAAGAATCGACACATAACGATACTTTTCGTGAATCTAAACATCCCTAATATTGACAGCATGTCGTTCTTGTCAACTGGGCTGCAGGGTGCGGTGTTGCGTTTACTATCTTACATTTTGCTAAAATCTTATGACAAATAAAAGCTTCAAATGAAATATTGACGAATATGAACGGATATGCATAGAATTTAGAATATAAATTCATATTGCAAATTTCAGATTGTCTATGCATGGACTTGAACCGGATTTTTCGGTATTTTTACCGAAAAGAGAATATTTATTTAATTTATTACCACCACTGCATATCAAGTTGGGCCTAATGAAAAACTTTGTCAAGGCATTAGATAGAGATGGATCAGCTTTTCAATACCTGCGTCAGAAACTTCCAAGACTAAGTGAGGCAAAGGTTAAAGAAGGTATCTTTGTTGGGCCACAGATTCGAAATATTTTGAAAGATACACAGTTTGAAAACACTTTAACAGGTATTGAAAAAACTGCTTGGAATGATTTCCGTCTGGTGGTCACTATTTTTTTGGGAAATAGAAAAGCTGACAACTATAAAACCCTTATCAAAAATATGCTGTCATCGTATCAAAAGATGGGCTGTAATATGTCTCTTAACACGTTCGCTGCCAAGCAATATTTATGATTATGCCACCAAAGCCACAAAAAGAAGACCAAACAAAAAAAAAAGTTCCCCTGGAGCCATTTTGTCCAGTCAAAACTTATTAGTTATGATTACGTTACCTGCAGTTAGTTTCTTTGTAGGTATCATTTTCATCTCAAAATTGTCAAATTTGTCACTCGGTCCAACAGACCGAGGCGGCGTGGAAGTAGCTTTTTTTATCATATGCGCCAACTCGGTCCATTTCTCGGTCCGCAGCGATTTTGCGCGATCGACATATTTCTTCAATTCAGCACGTGGTGTCTATTGTCTTTCTAATTGCATTTCAGTACGTACACACTTTCAGACGGAATAGGCGGTTATTGTTGTTATTTTTTAATGTAGTTTGTGTTTCTACAATGTCCAGAAATCGTGCTTTGACGCAGAAAGAGTTAGAAGAAGAGATAGAGCGAATTATGCAAAATCTGTCAGATGAAGCATCTGCATTAGAGGATGACGGTAAGAAACATTCTTTATTACGTAGATCGATCGCATAGACTTGTAAGTTTCCGCGAATAGATAGACTGCAAAAACGTACAATCCTTCATGCATTTATTATTTTTTTCAGACGATAGTATCGCAGACAGCAACTACGAACCTATTGATGATGAATCATCTGATAGTTCCGATACAAACTCTACTGCCTCCCCCATGCTTGCGCAAACCGCAGACACCAATGACGATGAGTTATCCGTTACTTCTGGTACAAATTCTCCATTACCAGGAAGTAGTGCTGCCTCCGCGCCTATGCCAAACACAGACACAGATGACAATTTAGCTGGTAACGCCGGCGCCGCCTCGGATAATATGATATGGAGTATTCCAACAGGTAGACAACCAGTTTTATTACCCTTTACCAAACAAACTGGTACTGAACCCCATCTTGCTGAGCTTTTGCGTGAAGAACCTCTGGAAATGTTTTATTTTTCACTAATTAATGACTCTATTTTTCAATACATTGCTGACCAAACGAATCTATATGCCACGCAAGTTATTACAGATGAAGCAGATGTAAAAGGTACATCTAGGTTACATAATTGGTTCCCTACAGATAAAAATGAAATCAAGAAAGTGTTTGGCTTGCTTTCGTACATGGGTATTGTAAAAATGCCTAATATACAAGCCTATTGGAGCCGAGAAGCTATGTATAAAAACTCTATGGCTTCTACAGTAATGACACGTAATAGATTTGAGCTGTTGCTACGTATGTTGCATTTTGCAGATAATCAGGATAATCCAGATAATGATAGACTGCATAAGATTCAACCTTTGATTGACAAAATAGTGCATAATTTTAAAACATCATATGAACCTTCCGAGACTTGTTGCATTGATGAGTCCCTTATTCCATTTAGGGGAAGATTAATAATGCGACAGTACATAAGAAACAAGCGCCATAAGTATGGAATAAAGGTATTCAAATTATGCAGCAAAGGAGGATATACCTATAACTTTAAAATTTATGCAGGAAAAAATTTAGACCAAGGTCATACTACACCCACATCTGTAGTTATGAGTCTTTTTGAGCCCATACTAGATTCGGGCCGCACTCTTGTAACAGACAACTGGTATACAAGTGTAGATTTGGCAAAAAGATTGATGGATAGGCAAACATATTTGATAGGCACATTACGAAAAAACAGACGAGGCCTTCCAAAAGACCTGGTCAACAAAAAACTTAAATGTGGAGAGATAGCCGCTCTCGAAAATCAGGACGGTGTCACAGTAATTTTCTGGAATGATAAACGCAACGTTTTAGTGCTTTCTACCAAACATAGCAACACAACAGTAGACACGACAAACCGCAGACAAAAAACTGTAAAGAAGCCTGAAGCCATTGTAGCATATAACTCAGGAAAGTCGTCGGTTGATATCTCTGATCAGATGACAGCTTATCAGACACCTTTGCGTAGAACCTTTAAGTGGTACCGTAAGTTAGCCGTAGAGATTATCCTGAATACTGCAATGGTCAATGCATGGATTATGTATAAGGAAACTGTGAATGCCAGAATTTCCTTACTTCAGTTTCGAAAAGCTGTTACATACAAGTTATGTCAAGCGCAAGCCGATGGGTTAGCAGAGCAACCAGATGTTGAGATGATTCCAAAAAGAAAACGCCAAAAGCACGAAATGGGCAAAAGTGATTATAAAAAACGAAGACCTTGCAGTAGATGCTATGAAAAAGTGAGAGCCGAGAAAGGATGGAAAGAAGCACGAAAACTCACTAGAGGACGTTATTATTGTAAAGGTTGTAATGGTGAACCGTTTTTCTGCTTATCATGCTTTAATAAGTTTCATAGATATGAAACTCTTTAGATAGAAATAAGTGTTTTTCTTACGTTTTTTATATATTATTATGTAAACTACTGGTTTTCGTTCTAGATTTTTGCAAAAATAAATAATTTATAAAGTAAATTATTGTTGTTTCTCTAACCTACCATATCCAGAAATAAAATGACCAAAATATTAAAACTCAATCAATTTTTTACATAACTGATATGTGCCAACAATCCTCAGACGCCAACTCGGTCTACAACCAGCGTTAAAGCAATGCAAAATTAAACAGCTGGCGAACGAGGATTGAATATTCGGCTCGGTCTAATCGACCGCGTTGGCGAGGCTGGCAAAATTTCTTCTCGGTCTTATGGACCATGATGGCGAATAAAACAAACACAATTTTGGTCTTATAGACCGAGTTGGCAGCGAACGTGTTAAGATACATTTCCCACACTCACACCTGGACTTTTTTCCTGACAATTGCGGAGCCGTAAGTGATGAGTACGGCGAACGTTTTCATCAGGATATTTCAACAATAGAAAAAAGGTACCAGGGAAAGTGGAATCCTTCCATGCTTGCAGACTACTGTTGGACTCTTGGTAGAGATGCTCCAGAAACGATATATAAAGTAACAGCAAAAAGACAGCGCATATAGTGATTCTTATAAGTATATGAATCTTGTTACTTTTTTTAATATATCCTTAAAAATAAAAAGTTTTTTTTTCTAAACCGCAACTCATTTTTTTATTTCATTCTCATTTTTGGATTCAGCGCCCCAAAATTAATAAAGAAGTGCACTTTTCCCACAAGATACAATTAAAAAACTAAAATTTGTTGTCCAGTGTTATTTGCCGCATTCCCATTGGTCCCACTTAAACAACTGACCGTCTTTTCTGAAATGATAAGAACTTGGAATTCTGTGAAAGTTATCCTAATTCTAAAGCACAAAAACGTGACATTACATCTATAATGTACACTTATTTACAAGGTAACCGCGTTTTCACGACTTTATTCAACATTTCAAAAGAAATCAGTGATATTCAGAGAGCTTTGACAGCTTCTGTCAAATTGCATTTCAATAAGGTCTTTTTCTATTAGTCCAACTGACCATCAAAAATATTAATGTTGGTGAAATTGGTCCTAAAAGAACTAAAAAAAACACACTTTTATCGCTAACAGAGCTGAATATAAAAGGGTTTTTTTAGTTTTTTAAGCTATCATTTATTTTTCATGTTTTACTTCGATTTATCAATTAGTTTTTTGTGGACATGTGGTATTAAAATGTCTTACGAATCATTTCGTAATCTAATCATTTCATTTAAAACTTCACTGTTTTGTTGGGTTTTTCCTGTTATCTCAGAGCAATCAAGTTCTTCAATCCGAATACCGTATAAACATCTTTCACCATTAAGTGCTATATAAGCTTGTCCAGCAGCAAACAGTCGCGAGCCTAGATAAATGAGTGCATGAACGATTGTACAACCTTGCATCTTGTGGACGGTCGAAGCTCAACTCAGGATTAAGCATCCCACAAACCGGCGCGAAATTTTCGCTTTGGCTGCGAAAATTTCGCGGCGATGAATTCGCGATCAGATTAAAACGCGGCGGTTTACGGACAGGCTCAGACTTGTGCGAAGCGAATGCGATTGTTCCAGCGTTTTTATCGCGGCATATTTCAGTTCGCCTTTGACCGCGTTTTTGACGCCGTTCTTCAAAAATTCGCAATGGCAAATACGGAATTATTGATAGAAATAGTGAAAAAGTATCCTTGTTTGTATGATTTGTCGAAGGATGAATACAGGAATGTGAGAAAGAAAGACAAGATTTGGATGGAAATAGGAAAAGAATTAAATACAAATACTACCTAATATTTTTTATTAACATGTTAAATAATTTACAGTCTACACAAATGTGAAAACGAACATTCCATATATTGGGCATAGGCATATCAGAATTAAAATAATTTACGAATTTGTCACGAGTAGAAAATGCTAGCCTTGCTGCCCGCCGAGGATCATTTGCTATATCAGTAAAAGCTCCAAGCACGGGTTCTGGGGGATCTAAGAATTGCAAATATTTGTCATCGCCACTTTTACTTCGTAAAAAGTTGTGTAAAACACATGCCGTACGTACAATTTGAATAGTAGTATCTACTTTAGTTTCTAATGGCCTGTAAAATATTCGCCATTTTTGAGACAAAATACCAAACGCATTTTCCACGACCCTTCTAGCTCGACAAAGTCTTACATTGTATTTCTCTTTTCTGACGTCTGTTAAAGTCTGATTATAAGGAAATGGTGTCATAAGGTATGGTTTTAAAGCAAATGCTTCATCACCAATTAAGACGTACGAGCAGATTTCATTTTGCCCAGGAAGAAATCTAGGTGCAGGGACACTCATTAAATTTTGTTCAAATCGTTTTCCCATGTTTGAGGTTTCGAAAATACCCCCATCACTATTTTTTCCGAAACCACCAATATCAACACATATAAATTTATAGTCCGGGCCAACAATGGCCATAAGTACTATTGAATATTTATGTAAATAGCACCAGTAATTGGAGCCACTGTTGTTAGGTCTCTTGATTGTTACAAGTTTACCGTCCACGCTGCCAATGCAATTGGGAAATCCCCATCTATTTTCAAATTCTTCAGCACATTTTTTCCATATATTCTCTGTTGGTTCTGGTAAATATATACGCTCCATATGTCTGCATATCGCTTCACAGACTTCGGTTACGATTGCACTCACTGTTGTAAAACCAACTCGAAAGCTATGCCCAATGGTATAGAAGGTGTCACCAGTGGCAAGGAATCTATAAAAAAAATCGTTTTTAGGTGATGAAGTAAAAAAAAGGTGGAAGAATATCAGAGACACATTTGCAAAATATATAAAATCTACCAAACTAAAGACCGGCCAAGCAGTGGGCAACATAAAAAAATGGCAGTGGGCTGACTACATGGAATTTTTCCGTCCTTTTTTCGCATTTGCCAAAACATCGTCTAATGTGAAAGATATTGACGTCATACACTATGAGACTTTAACTCAAATATATATCAGGAAAGGGCTGGAAATGTAGAAACCGAAAATTTGGAAGACCGCGGCCATGGAGAAGATGAAAATGCTGATGTAGATGCAGAAGATGCACAGAACGCCTCGGCAAGACAGACAGCACCACCTTCTTAATTGAACACTACAGCAGTGACTACTCCAGGGCACAACTTTCCGCAGACTGCAACTACACCAAAATATAAAACGAGCAGAAAACGCTATGATCCACCATCTTCGTCTGTACAACAGCTCATTAATTATTTTGAAGGTAAAAAACCTAAAAAAGAGAACGAGGCCATTGATTCACTTTTCTTGGCACATGCACAGACTGTGAAAACACTTCCCTTAAAGCGTCAAACCCGAATAAAACTAAAAATAGCCGAATTAATAGCGCACGAAGAATTTGAACATATTGAAGAAATGTCTTCAGCGTCTACCCAGAATTCTGCAAGTACATATGATAGTAGTATGTCGTCCTTCCCAAGCGGCACTGGGTTTACTCCATTAATATACCCAACAGAGGAGGCAAATTCTGCCTCGAATTATTTAGCAACATTTAATCCTAGTGGCAACATGTAGTCCAATTATTACAATAAAATATTTATTTCACGATCCCTGAAGTTTTCGTATTCGATAAGCCTACTAATTTTAATTCATATAATTTTTTTACCTGAGTGTACTAGCAAGTCGTTCTTCTGGCGAAATAGCTTCACGATAATTTGTGTCAGATTTTCGTATTTCATCTTTCACCAAGTTCAATATTTCATCGAAACACTCTGGAGTCATTCTAAAATATACGTAAAAGCGCTGTTCATCCAGCCGAAGTTGTGGCATCAAGGTATGGTATTCCCCAAATTTATTTCGTTCCAAGTTAATATCATGTACCCACTTCCTTCGTTTCCTAAACAAAATTGAAAATATTTGTTTTATGTACTTCGTTAAACTTAATACATACCCAACTATCAAATGGCGTTAAATAAACATAACTTACCGTGCATTTTGTTCCTCTTCTAAAGCAAGAAATAGAAGTGCCTCCTCTTCTTCTGAAGACGAGCTCATTGCAAAAGGCAAAAATAAAATGTACGCAACCTGTCGAAACCTTCACGTTTGCGGAGCGAATAAGACGCTTTGGTATGAATAAACAGGCGAAACAGATTGCGAATTTCGCTCTGAAATTCGTTGCGAATACTAATTCTAAAACAGACGTCAAAATCCGTCTGATTGGATAATAAACCACTTCCTACTGGCTATTATACCTCCCGGTTTGCATGACTCGCGTCTAATGCCTCTAATCTCGATCTGCTCTTGATGTTTTGAATATTCAAATTTTTGCAATGCATACAAAACGCCAAGTACGAAACCGCAAGCCTACAGGTATTATCCCAACCTCCAGATTCACGATCATAATGTACATGACAGTTAAGAGTGTAGAGGGCAGCCCTTAAGCGATGCTTTCACCCCACGTTCGCCATAAGTGCCACGGCAAAGTACAGTTCTTCTAAGCATCGTGTAAATTATTATACTGTGTTCTTCATTAAGTATGGTGAGTCAGCTTCCGAGGGGGTTGCTACGTAGAACAGAGGGTCTCCGAGGACCTTTATAGACGACTGGGGAGCGGAAAGGCACAACTTGATATTTTATTTTTGATGTAGGCATCATAAAAGTCACATATTTTAGTTATATTATCTACTTACAAAGCCCGATAGGGCAGACGTTAGGTGCAGCGGTAAATGATTAATTTTTCAATTCCTTGTAACTAATTGGATTTGCGGTTCTATTATAAAGTTGATTACGTTTCGGGAATATTATTTTCTTCTTCAGGGCTCTACAACAAATGTTTAAAACGCTAACTTCAAATATACATTGATTAATAATTTAGATAGTAAAATACGCTTATTTTGATCAAGGCATTATACAGGGTGTAAACGTCATGGTAGTTATTATTGAAATGGGTAATAGGAGTGGTCAAAACAAGTCAAAAAGTTCATGGTCCAAAAGTCAATATATTTTTGTCTAAATGGCTTTATAGTTTACAACTTTAAGTGCTTTATATCGACCGCAATCACCACAA